CCTCTCCAACCACTGCTCCTTCTCGTCCACCCAGACCTCGCAGGCGTGCACCTCGCTGAACATCCGGTAGACGGCCAAGGCGTCCTGCAACCACTGCTGCCGCAGCACGGCCACCTCAGCCACCTCCCCGTAGAGCTGCTCCACCTCCACCACCCGGATCTGCACATCCACCCCTTGCCGATGTTCGGGTGCCAGAAGAGCCAAGTGCTTCCGGAGGGCCAACACGGCCGCCCGGTGCTTCTCCACCTCTTCCACCACCGCCCGGTGCTTCTTCAAAAGAGCTTGGGTGGAATAATCGTCGTGGCCAAAGTCATCGCTGGAGACGATGCGGTAGATGTCCTGCAACCAGGCCACCAAGTCGTCCGTCTCGGCGCTGAACTGGAAGAAGTTGAGGGCCTCCTGCAAGCGCTGTTGGTGCAACCCCGTCACCTCCTCCAGCTTCTTCCAGCGGAGGCGAACCTCCCGCATCTTCTCCTGGATCCCACCAGGGCTGAAGCGTTTCTTGGCCAAGAGCTGCTCGCCCCGCTTCATGGTCTGGTGCAAGAGCGCCCGGCGGCTGCCCAGCTCGCCCAACATGCTCTTGTGCTTGTTGGTCAACGTCAAGACGCTGCTCAGGTCCCGCCCGCAGGTCTTGGCGCCCAGGATCTGCTCCTTCTCACGGATCCACGCCTCGGCTTCTTCCATCTCCTGGAAGAAGGCCCAGAGCTGACGAGAGTCCTCCAGCTCCTTGCGTCTCTTGCCCGCCAGCTCCCCCAGCTCCTCCAAGCATGTCTGGACGTGGTTGACCCGGTTGCAGATGATCTGGGGGTCGCAGGGTTGGTAGCCTGGACCAGAAGAACCAACGCTTAGCCGAGGTGGCCTACAGCACCCTGAAGACCTCGGTTGAGCCCTCCCAAGGATCTCCTGGTCTTCGCAGCGCCTGGCCCGGCGTCCCACCTTACCCTCCAGCTCCGAGAACTTGAGGGCAGCGGCGTTGAGCGCCTGGACCCGCTCGGTCTGGGCGGAGATGTCGGCCTCCAGCAGCCCGTGCTTCTGGAGGAGGTCCTCAACCTCCAGGAGATGCTTCCCCAAATCCTTGGAGACCAGCAGCACCTGGGGAAGGAGAAGGAGACCACGGGGGTCTTGAGCTGGCCCATCGCGTCCTCCACCTCGGCTGCCTCGTCGCCGGCTCTACCTGCATCTCCTCCATCCAATCGATCATGTAGACCATCTCCTGGAAGATCTTCTGCAAGGCCAGGTTCTGCTCGAGGCGGGCGCGGCGGGCGCGGACCAGCTCGGTCAAGAGCCCCCACTGGCGAAGGATGTTGTCCTTCTGGGCGCTGATGCGCTTGGTGTCGTAGTAGCCCTCGGACTCCATCTCCAGGGCCAGCTCCACCACCACCTGGATGCGCTCTTGGTAGGAGGAGATGTCGGCCTCGATGGCCTCGTGCTTCTTCATGGCGGCCTCCACCGCTGGCAGGTCGTAGCCGAAGTTGTCCTGAAGTGGGGCAAGATGCCATCAGGTGGGGTGGACCCCACCCCACCGCTCAACGAGGGAGCCCGATGAGGCAACCCAGGAGGTCCCACCACCCAAGCGTTGTGGTCTTCACCCACCCAACCCCTGGGCAGGGAGAGGCCCCCCAGGCGTCCTGCCCCAGGGTGGGGGTGGGGTCCCATGGGTCCCATCCCACCTGCGAGACCAAGCGTTGGTTCTCGTTCAACCACGTTTCCCTCATGACGGCCTTGTGGTCGAAACGTTGGGCCAGCAGCTCCAGCTTCTCCTGCCGGATCAGCTCATTGCGCAACGACGCCTCCCGTTCATGCTCCGCCTTCTCCAGGCAGGTCCAAGCCTGATGGGGTGGGACACCGAGCTCCACCAAGAGGTCCCCAACCCCCCTCGGGGAACCCCCAGGATGAAGAGGTCCTCCCCATCCCACCAGCACCTTATTGATGTCAGAGATGCTCTTGCCCTCGCTGGGGACGTAGAGCTTGCGGTTGGTGGCCCGTAGCTTGCTCTGGATGGTGAAGAGCAGGACCTCCAGGTTGCCCTTCTCCTGGAACCTGCCGGGTGACAACACCGGGGTCAGGATACGGCCCACAGCGGCCCCTGCCACCCCATGGTTGTCCCCCCCTCCCACCCCAGGAGGTCCTCACTTGACGGGTTTCTCCAGGGTGCAGAAGGCGGTGAAGGCTTGGAGCTGCTGCTGCACCCCGGTGAGGGAGTTGGCGAACTTCTGGTTGCTGATGATGGTGATGGTGTGCTGGATCCAGGCCAGCAGCTCGGCCGCCAGCGCCTCGTACCGCTCGATGATGGCCTCGATCTCCATGGCTTGATCCAGAACCTGGTTGGGAGAGGGGTGGTTGGCCCTCACGGTTCAGGGCCGTGGCCCACAGAAGCCCCATGAGCAACCACACGTGGCTTGAGGGGCGACCTGCTTGGCCCAACCCCTCCAGAGCCCAGCGTGGCTCTGCCCGTGCTGGTGCCCAGTGCAGGGACATCCTGGGGAGCCAGGGGTGGGCACCCATGGAACAAAGGATGGGGCACCCATGGAGCCAAGGGTGGGGAACCCCGTGGAGCCAGGGGTGGAGAAACCCATGGAGCCAAGGGTGGGGAATCCCATGGGATCAAGGGTGGGGCACCCCATGGGGCCAAGGGTGGGGAACCCCATGGGGCCAAGGGCGAGGAACCCCAGGGAGCCAAGGGCGAGGAACCCCAGGGAGCCAAGGGTGGGGCACCCATGGAGCCAAGGGTGGGGAACCCCATGGGATCAAGGGTGGAGAAACCCATGGAGCCAAGGGCGAGGAACTCCATGGGGCCAAGGGATGGGACATCCCGTGGGG